TGTGGAGGTGAGCGTAGTGATGTCCTTTGTCTGCCCAGAAAACGCTCTGAACGCTCAGTCATTGTCCTGCTCACACTTTCGACACGCCCGTGTGCACACATGCAGACACGTGTGTACTGCCACCCTTGCACACATACACGTGCATGTGCACACAAGCATGACACTGCACATACTCACATGCATACACACGCCTGCACAGGCCCGCACACACGTCGGCTACGTGTCCCCTTTGCCCGCAGGACAGTGACATGGCTCCCCGAGCCCGTGGACGGGCGGGCAACGGACATCACACCGCTCTGCCTCTCCACGCGCCCGGCGTGGGGGTCGTTCCCGTGACTGGCCGTCCCCGGGGAGCAGCGAGGAGCGGAGGGAGGACACACTGTGGCCCAGCCACCTGCGCTGCCGCCGATCAATGGTCAGGACAGCGGGGCCCTCGCTAACGAGCCGCCGCGGAGGAAGCGGAACCGATTGGAAGCCGAGATGATGGCTCCGTCTCGGGGTGCAAAGGTCCCCGTCTGACTTCTGTGGACATGAGAGCGGCTTTCGGCCTCGCCAGGAAGAATGCCACGCACGGGACGGTCGGCGGGAGGGGCTGTGCTTGGCCGTCTGGTTCGCAGGCGACACAGCCCCGCTCCCGGCTTTGTATCGGGACACGGCTCCCACCCAACACGCCCCGTTCCGGGAGGACAGCGGTTTCCGTGCGCGCTTTTCTGTGAAAAGGTGTTAAACATCCATAGAAGCCGGAAAAAAATTCCACCAAATCCACCCCATGGCCTCCTCGTTATTCTGGGGGGACTCAGCAGGGCTCCCCCAAATGCTGTGTCTGGCGAACGCTGGAGAGTTCAGAGGGACACGGAGGTGACAGGTGTCGTGCTGGAGAGAAGAGGGGCGGGAGGACGTGCACAGCCAGGCTCCCCCGCCGCCCCGACAGGGCCGATCTGGGGCGACTCCAGGACAATGGAGCGAGGGGCCCGAGGAAGGGCTGTTTCCGAAGTGGGACGGTGGGTGAGAGAGATCATGGGCAGACGTGAGGGAAAACACCACAGGGACATAGACAGTGTATTGTGCTCGGGTTTGAACTGTATGTTTTTATTGATATTAGGATATGATACAATGTTCCAAGCTGACATCCGAGTGCTCTCAGTCTGTGTATCTGAAGCATTAACAAAATAAAAGTCTTTCA